GTCTCCCTTACAGGATAACCAGAGCCCAGTGCCTGTCACTGCCATAAGTGACCCTATTGAAAGAGAAATTGATTTTGTGCCTTCCAAAGTCCCCTATGACCCCAGGTGGATGCTGGCAGGGAGACCCCATCCAAGTAAGTGAGAACAACCCAAGGCCAGTGCAACACTGCTCCCAGATACATCCTGTAGGTGCAGAAGATGCTCTTGGCTGTGGGTTGGTGCTCAGGAACCCTTCAGTTCTTGCCCTTGCACCACTCCGTGTTTCCCTGTGCTCTGCAGCTCTCAAAGGGACCTGGCAGAGCGGCTTCTTCGACCAGGGCAGCTTCATGGAGATCATGAAGCCGTGGGCTCAGACCGTCGTGGTTGGCAGAGCAAGGTACTGCCAGGAGCAGGGCATGGAGCTGGGATCCTGCATGTGTGGCCCCTCACCTTCAAGCCCTGGCACTGCTTTTGGGATGGTGGAGAGGGAGCAGCTCTCTGTGGGGCTGGGGTGGAGGAGAACTGGCCTTGCTGAGCCCAGCCTGCCCTGCCATAGGCTAGGAGGTCTCCCCGTGGGCGTCATCGCTGTTGAGACCCGCACCGTGGAGGTGACAATACCTGCTGACCCTGCCAACCTGGACTCAGAGGCAAAGGTGAGTGCGTACAGCTGGGGCCAGGTGGCATCTGAGAGGGGGATGGAGAGAAGGGAGGAAGAATAGCTCAGCATGATCCTTGGGCATGTCTTGACTTTCTTTAATTCAGGTGAAATCAAGGGCTGGAGCAGTTTGTTTACTTTACAGGAAGAACTGGCACAGTCTCAGCTGCTCACTGTCTTTTCCAGATAATCCAGCAGGCTGGACAGGTGTGGTTCCCAGACTCTGCTTTTAAAACAGCCCAGGCCATTCGGGACTTCAACCGGGAACACCTCCCGCTGATGATCTTTGCCAACTGGAGAGGTTTCTCCAGTGGCATGAAAGGTACCTGTGCTTAGGATGCCCACATTCCCATGGTGTGACAAACCTCTGTCACCCCTGCCATCCCACAGGGTCCTGGGATGGCCCAGCCTAGCAGGGTATGCACCACTCTGGGATGTGGGGTTGGGTTGGGCTGGGGAGGTCGTGGGGTGGCTTTGTGCTGGCTGGTTTTGTAGAGTGCTTCATCTCTCCGATAGAGAAGGTGGCTTTGAGCTGCTGGGATGAGGCTGGGGCAATGGCAACTGGGACACCCAGCCCCTGAGTCCCTTTGGCTTTCAGACATGTACGACCAGATGCTGAAGTTCGGCGCCTTCATCGTGGACAGCCTGCGGGACTTCAAGCAGCCTGTCCTGGTGTACATCCCCCCTCACGCGGAGCTGCGCGGCGGCTCCTGGGTGGTCATCGACTCCACCATCAACCCCCTGCACGTGGAGCTCTACGCTGACAAGGAGAGCAGGTCAGCATCCTGAACACCTGCGTGTGTCATCCAAAATACCTGTGTGTGTCAGCTGCCTAGGATTTATTCTCCCATGCATACCGCTCCTTGCTTTACCAAACTTTCCCTTCCAGGGGAGGCATTTTGGAGCCTGGAGGAACAGTGGAGATCAAGTTCAGAAAGAAGGATTTGGTGAAGACCATGAGAAGGATTGATACAGTTTATGCCAAGCTTGTTGAGCAACTGGGTAAGGAAAGGGAGTTTTGGGTTGTGGACATCAGTAATGTTAAGTTCAACATAAAGCTCAAGCTCTTTGGTGGCAACCACCAGGAATCCTTTGGTGTCCTGGGAAAATTTTTTATGTGTTTTGTGTTGGTGGAGCTGAGAGGATGTGGTGGTACTTTAGAACACCTCTATCCTCTGGGGCCTCTGTCAATGGGTTAAATGGGGCTGGGGTATTCTCCCATGCTTTGAGATGAAGGATGGCCATGGACACGTTGTATTGGTTCCTTGCCCCTGTGTCCCTCCAGCCTGCTACAACACGGTCCTACAAAGTCCTTGCAAATACCATCTCATGTGGTGGGCACTGAGTGAGGTGTGACCTTTTTGTGGCCGTGTGTAGCTCTGGTGTCAGTGTTCCAAGGAGAGGGCCGTGGCATTGGGCGTGGTGGCTGATGTGGGAGCAGAGAGGGGACGCCCTGGTGGCATCACTGGTGGGGCTGCTCAGCCCGCTGTGTCCCACAGGGACCCCCGAGCTGTCGGAGGCGCAGCGCAAGCAACTGGAGAAGCAGCTGAAGGCGCGGGAGGAGTTGCTGCTGCCCGTGTACCACCAGGTGGCCGTGCGCTTCGCAGACCTGCACGACACCCCGGGCCGCATGCAGGAGAAAGGGGTCATCACGGTGAGAGGGCACGGGGAGGTGACAGCAAAGGTGGGAGAGAAGTCCCTCCCCTGTGACATCCCTGCCCTCCGCCCTCCATCCCGCCGGAGCTGGGAGCCGCCGGCAAACCCGGGCTGTGCTCTGGTTTCCGCAGGACATCCTGGAGTGGAAGAGCGCCCGCTCCTTCCTCTACTGGCGGCTGCGGCGGCTGCTGCTGGAGGAGATGGTGAAGGGGGAGGTGCTGAAGGCCAACAGCGAGCTCAGCCACATCCACATCCAGTCCATGCTTCGGCGCTGGTTCATGGAGACGGAGGGAGCTGAGAAGGTACCCCCAGCCCCGGCTTCCTGAGACACCTCCACAGCCAGGGCATCCCGAGGGATCTCATCTCGCTCTCCCACCATTCAGAGGTTTCAGTGGTGTTTCAGGGTGTGATGGGACTGTGTGAGGATGGGCAGGGAAGCAGTCCTAGGCTGGGGCTGGCTCTTCAAATCAGGTGACTCCAGTTGGATGCTGGTGCTCAGCGATGGCAAAGTGGTTCCCAAATAAACATTTTCTATCATGACAGGACTTCCCAGGGCAAAAGTGAGGTTTTTAGCATTTGAGCTGCTCTCAAATAACACACACATTGCTGTGCTTGCCTCAGGAAGCAGGACATACAAAGGAACCATGTTTTACCTTTTTGCTTTTTAAATGGTTTGCAAATAGGTGCAGGACAGGGAAGAAAAATCTCATGGCCTGGATTTGAGGCTCCAGGAGGAAGGAGGGGCTCGGGCTCTGCAGACAGCAGGACCTCTTGCCCACAGTGCTGCTTTCTCCAGGGCTATCTCTGGGACAACAACCAGGTGGTGGTGGAGTGGCTGGAGAAGCACATGCAGGAGGAGGACAGCACCCAGTCAGCCATCAGGGAGAACATCAAGTACCTGAAGAGGGACTACATCCTCAAGCACATCCGGAGGTGAGTGCCTATGGGAGCTGGGATGACAAGGGGGTCCCTGGGGTGGGAACTGCAGGTGGTGGAGACCAGGCAGTTCTCACTTTAGCCTCTCAGTAAACCTCTCTCTGCCCTGTGCCTTGCAGCTTGCTCCAGGCCAACCCCGAGCTGACCATGGACTGCATCGTGCAGATGGCTCAGCACATCACCGGGCCACAGAAGGCCCAGGTCGCCCATCTCCTGTCCAGGGTGGACACTGATGATCCCTCCTGAGCTGGGCAGTCACCACAGGGTAGGAGAAACACCAGGACACACCCAGACCTCACCTGCTCACCTGGTTCCTCAGCTCTTGAACTGAAGCCTTGGACTCTTGCTCATGTGCCTAAATAAAGGACAACAGTGCTTTTAAGTATTTTAAGCCATGGAGATGGTCTTGCCCTCCATGCAGAGTCCCCTCTGGCGCTGGGGGTGCTGCCAGAGGGGCAGCTTGGCAGAAGATGAGCTTGTCCCAAACCAAGTCTGGAATCTGGACCTGCTACAGAACTTGGTTTTAAAAAGAATCCAAAATATTTTCTTGTTTTAGTTGCCAGCCCTGGCCTTGGTCTTTTGAACAAGCACCAGGTCAGACATGTCTCATGAGACTGGACAAAGCTGGAGGCACAGACCCCCTGGCCAGGGCCAGTGTCCAGCTGGCTGGGTTCAAGCTGACCAGGCACCAAGACCAGGAAATGAGAAGCAAATTCCAAGTGATGCTTTATAAACTGTGAGGAGCAATTTCTGTCATCCTTCCCCTTGCTGGGGGGCAAAGAGTAGATGTGGCCATGGATAGCTGATGGCCTAGGAAAGACCTCAGTGAGCTAATCTGGGAGCTGCTCCCATGGGAATGTCCAAGGATCCACCAGGCTTTGGCTGAACTGGCTGTGCCTCTCGCCCATCTTGTGTCTTTTCTGGCTCCTGCAGAGCATGGAGAGGAGGGAGGATGGCTCCAGGTGCTCCTGCCCCAGTGACTTGATTCCTCCTTGGAAGCAGCAGAACCAGGGGGAGCTGTCACCTGCTGGACCTGTACCCTGCTGCTCAGGTAGCCTTTGATCATCTTGGTCATGGAGGGGAAATTTGAAGTTTTCCAGTGCCTCTGGCTGTGTCATTTCCCCAGCACAGATTTACCTTGGGCTCAAAAGGAGGAGGTGGGATGGCAATGGAAGGTGGGACACCTGACTCAAGTGCAGTGCTGGTATTGCCCTGGGGTGAAGGTGTTGGACAGCTCCTGGGGCTGAGCTGGAGGATCCCACAGTCTGTGGGAAATCTCCCTGTCCTGGGGTGGGGATGGGAAAGGTCTTGTGAGTCACTTCCTGGCTGGAAGGTGTCACTGCTGACAGGTAATAAAGTGAGCTAAGCTCCCAGGGAACTCCCTGACCTCTGTGTCTTCTGTCATTGCCCTGAGCAGGGCCTGGTGTCTCTGGCACTGGGCAGCCCCTTTTATGTGGCACAGGATCTGTTTGGGGTGGGGCAGCTCGGAGCATCCCTCCTGCCAGCCCTGTCCCCACTCCAGAGCCTTTCCAGGCAATTCAGAGGGTTTCAGGAAGAGGGTGACACCACAGAGGAAGAATTCTTAGAGTAAATATCTGTAAACTCTTTCAGTAAATACTTGTAAACTCTTACTCTCCTGGAGGATTTGAGCCAAGGATCCACCTTCATCTTGGCCATAGGGTCTGTAAAGGGAATGAAACCTGGGGAAGCCCAGCATGACACCAGAGCAGGCAGCACACAGCACATCCAGAATGCCTCAGGTGTAGTGCTAAGAAATGTTTATTTAAAAAAGCAAAGACATCGTAGGTGACACCAGTCACAGCAAAGGATCATTCATCACATTTGTCCTTGGACAATAAATTATGACATGGAGAGCCTCTTCCAAAAGGCGAGGTTGCCATGGAGGGATACACTGGGAGGATACAGGCACAGATCTTTCCAAGCCCCTGATCTTCATATTTTCAAGCAAGAAAGTGCCCTGTGGGGCCACTCCAGCATCCTGCACCCTCCAGCTTTAATCCATGGATGGGTGTGGGAGAGGAAAGCCTGGGAGCACCTGGATACGGCACCGGGAAATTCTCTGAATGCACAGGAACAGACAAAACCCAAGATATAAATATCACATTTTGCTCACAGAGGTATAAGTAGACTAAAATGCTAAATTCCAACATATTTCAGATGTTTCATTACATTATTTGCAATGTATGTTAACAAGTACAAAGCAGGGTTTGAAAAGAATTTTTAAAAGCTACATTAGAATCAGTTTTTTTAGTTAATTAGCAAAGACTATTATGAAAGGTACAGTGACAATATTTGGTCTCTGAATTTTTTAAAAAGTATAAGTTTCACAGTATCAAAAGTGCTTATTAAAGAAATGTAGTGTAAAAACTGTGATAAGATGGTTGTGGTTCTGATGATGAATAATTTAGTGGCTGAAAACCAGGTTACTGCAGCATTATACAAATTGAACAGTGCTCAGTTCACATAATTTCTTTTCATAACAATAAATATAAATAAATTTACAAATAGTAATACTGCCTAGCACAAGAATAGACAGAAGCACAATACACAAGACTATAAACAAATCTATTTTTTAAAAAAATCCTAAAAATTGCCATAATTCCTAAAATCCTCTAGCCAGTGATCAGTTTAATAGTTCAGTAGTACCACTTCCTTCAGGGGTGAGGACTTTTACAAATCTAGATATAACAGTGGTCTGCTAGGGAGGTGAGTTTTCCTTTTTTAGTGGTTTTGCTCCTTTTTTCCTACCTCCTAACAATAAATTAACAACAGTTATGTCAGAAAAGTGTTAGTGGTGCAAACGTCTCCAGGAACTGGGGGAGGTCTTTGTCCAATTTGGCAAATTAAGAAAAAATGACGCACCAGGGGCACAATCAACCAACCTGGGGCTGGCCAGCCCTTTGGCTTGTGGTGGCTTCTGTGACAGTGGTGACACAGCAGCTCCACCATGGTGTGGAATAAATTTAATTCCCTTAATTGAGTGCTTTTTAGCTCAGTTACATTCCAGTGAAAGTTCCTGCTGCCTTCCAGGTCCTTCTGGAGAGCTCCCCAGTCCCACAACACAAATGTCCATGCCCTTGCCATGGCAGAAAGTGGTTTTACAAGTAAGTAAAGTTTTGGCCTCACACGCTGGAAGCAGCCAACACATCCCAAAGCAGGACAAGCCCTTGGAGCTTCCCGGTTGGATTTTAACCACGGGGAAGAACCGTCCCTCGGGATCTGTGGGATGGTGGTGCCAAGCTCAGAGCAGAGGGATGGGTTTGTTGCCTTGGGGGTTCATGTACTGAGCAGCTGCCACATTGTCCAGGGTGGTGTAGGTGGTGTAAAGGCCAGTGACCTGCAGGTCGGAGAAGGAGCGGTCACTGCCGCTGGACACGGGCGTGAGGCCGGGCGTGCCCAGCTCGCAGTCGGAGAGATGCAGGGGGGAGTTGCTGAAGGCACCCAGGGTGTCCAGGCTGAAGCTGTCATCTTTCATCTCCTCCCAGATGTTCCCTGGAAAAGATGGAATCCTGCTCACAGCAGCACATCCCCAGGTCCCCAGGGCCGGGACTAAAGGGCTTCATTCGCTGCTTAAGGGTGGGACCACAGTGGTGCAAAGAGCAGCAAGTCTGATCCCCCAAATCCTGTGATTCCAGATTTTCTGGGCAGCAAGTGTGTCTGATACCCCAAATCCTCTGATTCCAGATTTTCTGGGCAGCAAGTGTGTCTGGTCTTGCCCAAATCCTGTGATTCCAGATCTTTCTGGGCAGCAAGTGTGTCTGATCCCCCAAATCCTCTGATTCTAGACCTTTCTCCAGCAAGTGTGTCTATCTCCCAAGTTGTCTGCTTCCAGACAGCACCTCTCTACCTGTGCTTTACCCAGGACCATGTCAGGCATTGCCACAAACCAGGGAAGTTCTACTTGCACAGAAGGAGAACCCCAAAGCATGAGCAAAGCTCTGTTTTCTCAAGGGCAGAGAGATGTGGTGTCCCAGATCCAGCTGGTTTTACACCCCTGCTTCCACCCCCTGCAGTGCCTGCACTGGAGCCAGGAATGTGCTTTGCTGTCCCACCTGGCACAGGGACAAAATCCACTGAGGGTGACCCGGGAAGTCACCCTGCAGATGCCAACACCCAGCCTCATCCCAGAACACCCCACTGAGGATCCTGGCTGGATATTCAGTGACAAACACATCCACAGACCCCAGCTCTGCCCTCCCCCGGTGCCTCGCCCCGTACCTTGCAGTGCGAAATCCATGATGCTTGGATCCAGAGCATCCACCTCGGTGCTCATGTCCACCGCCACGTTGGGGAAGTCCGGGGCGCGCCCCATGGGGTGGTGGGGCAGGGGGCTGGGGCTGATGTCAGGCAGGGTGTGCAGAGGAGGCGTTTGTGCAGGTGCTGGTGAGTTGGGGGCGAGGCGAGCCTGGGTCTGGAGCTGGTGGTGCAGCGGGAGGGACTGCAGGGACAGCGTCATGATGGGCTGGGGCTGGAGCTGGGACACGGAGATGCGGCCCAGCGGGGGCCCCTCGGGCTCTGCCTGCTTGTGGGGCCGCCTGCAGCTCTCGGGTCTGTCAGTGATCAGCTTGTCCAGCTCCTCTGCCCGTTCCAAGGAGGAAAAGAGATGCTTTAACCCCTTTGTTCAAGCAGGGACTGCCCAAAGCACAACTGCATTTATGGCATGAACTGATTGTCACCGTGTGGGACCCAGCAAAGGCTGTGACCGTGCAGGGAGCAAAGAAATGCCACCTAATTCCTTCCCCAAATCCACTTCCATGGTTATCCCTGAGCTAAAGAAATGATCACGAAATTGCAGAGCAGCCCAACCACCCCTGATGGCAGCACCTCCAGCTGCAGAACTTCTGTGCTCAGAGAAACACTCAGAATTCTGCTTATCTCCCAAATAACTACAAAAAACTCCTGACAGTTTCAGTGGCCCTTTTGCTTTTAAACAAATAGCATGTAATTTCTCACTGACTGCATGTTACTGATTTTGTAGCAAAAAATCTCCAGTTGATTTTGTCAATACCGAGCTCCTGAAAGCTTTGGAAACATGGTTCTTTACAAATATGAAATTTTATAAATTAGGGGAGGAATCAAAAATAAATAAGATATAAATAATAAATATATTAGTAGAAATATATTAATATGTATACTAATTTAGTATAATTTAATTTGTACTAATTTATATTAGTATAATAATATATAGTGTATATATAGTATATATAGTATATATACTCTATATGTAGTTATATATACAGTACACTATAGTGTATATATATACTATAAACACTATATATAGTATATATAGTATAAATAATTTATATAATTTAATTTCTTTTATACTAATTTATATTAGTATAAATATATTAATATTATATATAATATATTGATATAGCTATAGATATATTGATATAATAGATATATATAGATATATTATACATATGTAAAATATATCTATATAGATATATAGATATAATATTATATATATATATATAAGATAATATAGATAATAAATAGATATAAACACATAATATTTATACTAATATAGTATTAAATAATATTAAATTCTATTTTATAAATAAGAAAATGTCTTAGGAAAGGGAGAGTTTTGCAGAAGAGCAGGCAAGAAACAGCATTAAAATTCTTCTCTATGAAAAGTGCATTAAATGTGCCTTGATATGAAAATATTCCCCCAAACAGTAACCCCAGAGGCAGCGGAGCCGTGCAGGGAATGCCATGGATGTGCAGGATGGGGATGTGGGACACCAGCCCTACCTGGGTTAGCCATGCTCCTGTGAATAGCAGCCAAATCCTTCCTCTTCCACTTCTGCATCTCCTCCTCCATCTTGTCGATCTTGGCGGGGTTGAGGGCCCAGAGGCAGCCCTTGCGGGACGTCCCGCTCAGTTTGTTCTCCACCTTCTCAAAGCACTTGTTCAGCGACAGGTTGTGGCGCACGGAATTCTTCCACCCATCAGGGGCAGTCTGCGAGGGGCAGGAAGGGGTTAATGGGAGCAGGGGGAAAGGGGGCTGGGATGTGGCATTCCCAAGGTCGGGAATGCTCAGGCACCTTGAAGTAGGGGAAGTGCTCCTTCATGAAGCTGTAGATCTCGCTCACGGGCAGGCTCCCGGTCTTGCTGTTCTTCAGCGCCATGGCGATCAAACAGCTGCGGGCAGGGAAAGCAGCAATGGCTTGGAACCATGGAACGCCTTGGGTGGGGAGGGACCTTAAAGCTCATCCACTTCCACCCCCTGCCACCTTCCACTAGCCCAGGTTGCTCCAAGCCACGTCCAACCTGGTCTTGGACACTTCCACAGCTTCTCTGGGCAGCCAGTGCCAGGGCTTCCCCACCCTCACAGAGAGGAATTCCTTCCCAATATCCCATCTAACCCTGCCCTCTGGCAGTGGGAACTCACTCCTCTTGTCCTGCCACTCCATAACTTCTGGTCTAGCAACCCTGGACCCACCTCTTCAGACCCAAACAGCTGGGATCCTGGGATTTCTGTTCCCAAGGGCTCAGGATGAGCTGACGTAGAAGGGACCCACAAAGATCATTGAGTGCAGCTCCTGGCCCTGCACAGCACCATCCCCAAGAGTCACACCATGTTCCCAAAAGGATTTTCCAAACCCTTCTTCTTGGGCTCTGCCAGGCCTGGTGCTGTGACCACTTCCCCCTGATCCTCAGGTTTTATTCCTCTGTGCTGTTACTCCCCACTGTGCTGCTCTCTAGGAATTACTTTGCTTGTTCACTCCTGCTACCCCTCAGAGGCAGCTTCCACAGAACTCCTGCATGGATGAGGGGATTTTTGTTCCCTTCCAAAGGACTCAGACACCCCTGCAGTGTCCCAGCCATCCCAGGACAGGCTGTAGGCAATGTGCTCCCTGCTCCCCACTCACCTGTAGGAATAGATGGGCTTGGGATAATGCTTTGGGTGCAGTTCCTGGGCAGAGTGGGGTGCCAGGCGTGGCTGGGAATAGTGTGGCTGTGTCCCATAGGATGTGTTGTAGATTGCTGCTGGGTTACACTGCGTGCAGAGGGAAAAGAAGGGAAATGTTGGATGCAAAATGTCTGTGGGTATGTGGATTTAGGGATATTTTGGTTTTCTTTTAAAAGACATCTAGATTTGATCTTGGCAGGTTCTTCAAGACAGACAACAAGCACATACCAGTACCTGCTGGGGGTTCTGGGCCAGGGCAAACACCTGCTGGGAGTGAGGAGGAGGAGGAGGATGAGGAGGAGGAGGAGGAGGGAAGAGCTGTTGCTGTGTTTGCAAACCAGGGGACAGCTGCCCAGCCATGGCATAGGGGCTCATCTGCTGAGAGAAACACAACAGTCAAGGAATTATCACCACCTTGTCCCAGGAGCTGGGGCAATAATGAGCCACCAAGGCCTGCTCTTACATTGGCTCCATGTGCTGAAATGGAATTGAGGCCCAGGATTCCCTGTGGGAGGCTGGCCTGGACGTGGATCATCGCCCCTGGTGTCGAGTGCATCGTGCTCCCCACAGGACCTGGCGTGGAGAGAGGAAGGCAAGGAATGCTCCCATGGAAGCACAGTTCAGGGAAGGGTGTTAATAGATGCAGCTGAGCACAGGGAAGCTCTGGAGTGGAGAATCCAACTTCTCTGGCTTTTCACAGCTTGCCCAGATGACATCAGCTGCTCCCAAAACTTTTTAGGCAGGGAGTGAGAGGCAGCAGCTGTTTAACAGCTCCCGGTGGTGACACAGACACTGTGTCTTACAAAAGAGAAACAACACACACATTCAGCATTAGCTGGATTTGTGCTCTCAGGCAGGCTGAGCTCTGTGCTGTGTGTTTACCTAAAGGATGTTCACGAGGGAAAGAAAGGAGTTCAACCAACACACGCTGCAAGGCTTCAAGAAGCAAAGAGGTGCGAGGTAAATGAGGCGCCCTTTGTTTTATCAGTGTTGAAACAAAGCAGAAAGATTAATCATCTAATTTCAGAGCTCTTGAAAACCTCTGAAAGCCAGGACTTAAAATACCTCGGCCCAACAGGTCACCAGCAGAAATTCCCATGGGATCTGAGTGTTGCCAGTGCTGGAGCTCTCTCCCTCTTGGAATGAGGGGAAGGCACCAGCAGAGCCCTCATGAGAAACCAACAGGCTCCAGGTCTTTGGACAGGAAGCAAAATGTAAAAGGTTTGGAAAAGGGAGCCTGAGGGGGAGCAGCAGGGCCAGGCTGTGCTGTTTGAGCAGCAGTTGTTCCCTGTTCCCATTTCCCACCCCACAGTACCTGTCTGCTGGAGCATGGCATTCTGGGCCCCCAGGCTGAAATCCATTCTCCCACTGGCCATCTGTTGGAGCCGAGGCACATCCACGGATGTCAGCCAGGACAGGGACTGCAAATCCCCTGGGAGCTCATCCTCACTCAGCTGGGACGGGTCTGAAGCCAGGAGTCTGCAAAGCAGCAGGGAAGGTTAACAGGGAGCAGGGATGGGGCTGCATTGTCCCCGGGAAGAGATGGCTGAGGTGCCAAAGCTCCTGCAGCTCAGTGGGAAGAACCACCAGGCTGGAATTCTGTATCCAAATCCAGATGTGCCCTGTGGTTTTACAGCTGCTTACTGACACCCTTTACCTGGCCTTGTGTTCCTTTGTCCAGTCTGAAACATTCTGGTTAAGAAAACCTCTTGTGGAGCATTTTTAGGGGAAGAAAGCCCAGGGACCCAGCAGAGAAACTGCCTGGAAACAAACCCAAACTGATTCCTTATTTTCACACCTGTCAGAAATTTGCACTTGTTTGGCTTTGATGGGAGAGAACCAGGGCTTAGAACCTGGTCATTCTGTATTAACCCTGCAATCCAGAGCCTTGGAAGGAGCTCTGTGCCCACCTCCTGGGGAATGTGTGTGCTGCTTCTGCTGGAACACCTGGAAAAACTTTTCCCAGCCCCTGGATCCTGTCAGTGGTGACAGATCAGCAGCTGCATAAAAAGAACTTCACAGACTGAACAGCTGATATCTTCCATTCAGATATGTGAGGTTATTGATACTTTAAAAAACAATTTTTAGGCAGTTTTTGACAGAGTAAAGGACCAGAATGAAAGGTTTGAGACTGGAGGCACCATATCTGCCAGGCACCAGCAACAACAGCAGGCACAGCTGTGACAGGCTGCTTTTGGTTTAAAGCTCTCCTTTTGACACCTTTTACATGTTCCAAATCACCTGTTTTGTTTTGCTTCTGATAGAGCATATGGTACAAAACAGGAATATTGGAATATATTTACAGTACTCAAAAATTCCTGTGTGGTCCAAACTCCCTGTTCAAGTCGATAAAAGAACTCTTGCAAATGAAAGGCTAAATTAATTAATTTATGTGGAACAGTATTACAGCAGTCACGGGTACCTTGTGGAGTAAAGCAGTAATTAGGGCATGTCAGGAAGTTGACACCCAGGGTAAACCTAAAGGGATTCACATCCAGGAAAACATCTTTATCTCTCAGAAGAACATAATTTAGTTGGATTTTGCTTTCAAACCCTTTTGCTTTCAAGAGCTCTCAGAGATGCGTTAAAGTGGTGTCTGCTGCTGATGTGTGTTTGCTGCCAAATGATGCTGCAGAAATCTTAAATAAATCTGGTCTCTTGCTGAAGCATCTTTTATGTTTTACACGACTCTAAATCAGCTTAAAAGAACAAGGCAGAACTCCAGTGCCTGCCTGCCCTGGAGCTTTCAGCTCCTCTATTCAGGAATTCCAGAAACACCTATCAAGGCTCAGTGAACCTCTGTCGGGGAGATCTTTACAGCAAAATGCCACTTGTTTGCAAAAGGATTTTGTAAAGGAGAAAAGGGTGGGGGGAAAAAATCAACACAGGAAAAAAAAAACCCTCTTCAAATCTCCTTTGCAGCCTTGTTCTCTCTCCTACTGTAGTTATAGGGCAATAATTAAGGCAAGTGAAAATTGCAGAGACTTTTTCCATAGCTGCGCTCTTTTCATCTGTGGACATTGTATATATGTTTGCCAATAGGGCTAGAAAGTTATGTGATTCAGGTTAGATGCTTAGTTTATGTACTTCTTGTTTTGTTTTGGATTTTGATATTGTTATTTTTGTATGATTGCATAGTGTTCTTTTTTATACAGTTTTGTTTTAATAAAGTAGGCGACAGCTAGGGACGTAGGGCAGCCACAAGCCAGTTAGGTAGCTGATAGTGAATACGGACAGAATTTTATTATTTCATGACGGGTCAATTAACATCTGATTTGGACCAATTCACCGGATTTGTCCAAGGTGGACGGGCCACCTTTACTTAACCCGGAAAAGGAACATATATAATTTATGTGTGTTCGAAAAATAGCATCGCCATGGTTACGCCATTAAAAAAAAAAAAAAAAGAAAAAAAAAGAGGAAAAAAAGGGAAAAAAAAAAAAGGGAAAAAAAAAAAAAGGGAAAAAAAAAAGCCCATCAGGTGACGGCTCTCCCGGCTCGGAGATTGGCTGGATTGGAAGAAAACAGGGGCATGAAATGATTTGAAAACCGGGCAGGCTCGGGGTCGTTTGCAACAGTTGGTTCCATTGAGGGGGAGCCGGCGGCCCTTTGTGCGCCCAACGCCCGCGGCACGTGGCCCCCATTGTCTTTGGGCACCCCGCTTAATTGTCCCACCCCCAGCCGCTCCTTTCTCCGCAAACCTCCCATTAATCTGCCCCGAGTGACAGGCGACACACAGCACACGTCCCCCTCGCCATCTGGCACCCCGCGCCCTGCCGGGTCAGCGCTCCGCACACGCCGCTGGCAGCGCCCCTGCCCGCCGCATTCCCGGCCGAGTGCGGGACAATCCCGGCCCCTTCCCTTCCCTTCCCTTCCCTTCCCTTCCCTTCCCTTCCCTTCCCTTCCCTTCCCTTCCCTTCCCTTCCCTTCCCTTCCCTTCCCTTCCCTTCCCTTCCCTTCCCTTCCCTTCCCTTCCCTTCCCTTCCCTTCCCTTCCCTTCCCTTCCCTTCCCTTCCCTTCCCTTCCCTTCCCTTCCCTTCCCTTCCCTTCCCTTCCCTTCCCTTCCCTTCCCTTCCCTTCCCTTCCCTTCCCTTCCCTTCCCTTCCCCTCCCTTCCCTTCCCTTCCCTTCCCTTCCCTTCCCTTCCCTTCCCTTCCCTTCCCTTCCTTTTTAAGTTTCCACCTCTGCCTGTTCACTGTGCTTCTTTAAAAAATGTGTTCGCTATTAATCAGATTAACACTCAGTTAAAAATTAGGAAAAAAGCAAATTCAATCAGAATTACATCCCTGCCCATGGCAGAGGGTTGAAACAAGATATTTACGGTCCCTGGCCAACCCAAACCATTCTGGGATTCTGTGTTTCTGTGATTTGATAATTCTATGATTCCATGATTTCAAGTTTAAAGAGTATTCTTCAGGCTGCCTTCAAAACCAATGCTGAGATCTCTCATGTCTTAAAGAAGGTGAAATTTTAAAAAATTCTCATTGCTGCCTGGCTGAGGAATTTTAAGTCTGGGGATATTCTGTAGCATAAACCCAGCACATCTCCCAGGCCACAGACTCAATGTGTGCCCTGCTTCCAGTGAAGAAATTCTAATTTAACTGCGAAAAAAGACAGAGCCAAGCACTAGAATAACCAACATTGTCATCTCCTGGGGTTTAAATCTTACTGACCTCAAAATTGCCTGTGCCAAGACAACTACAGATCCCTAAGTACATGTTGGAATGCCAGGTGGGATTGAATTCTGTTCCCCACCACGGCCCTGCTCGTCACTTTGGAGGTAAACTCCAGGAGGATAAACTCCAGGAGGATAAACTCCAGGAGTCAGAGCTCCTGCCTTTAGCTGGGTGTTCACAGCCCCTGGCACAATGGGGCACTGTGGTAAAAGCAGCCTTTCAGTGCATGTAAATGAGATAAATAGTGATGGGCTGTAATTAATGCACTGCTGAGCCTCCCCTGCTCATTCCCAGGGCTCCTGAACAGCCACGGAGCCACCGAACCCCGCCAAGGGGAGGCTGCAGTCCTGCCAGATGTGTTGCAAACGTGGTGTTGTTTTTCAGGGTGTGGTGAAATGATGCAACTCCACTTTTACCCCTCTGCTTTCAACTCTCTGCAGGAAAACACCCCCTGCTTCTGTTTCTCTCCTAGAAAGGCACCTGCAAGGATGGGAATCCAGAGGGTGCTGAGGGTTTAAAGCCCAGTTCTCCTGTGTATCCCAGGATGCTGATCCACAGATCCTCCTGTGAAAAGTGCCTGGAAAACTGGGTGTGATACAGAAATGCCCCAGGGCACTGTTAGTCTGTGCAATCTGCTCTGGAGGTTTCTGCACAAAATATTTATCCCATCAGGATAATTGGCTCAGGAGCACCTTGGAATGAGACTCCTTTCAATATCTGATGCTGGGCTCACCTGGCAAAGTTCACCCAGGCCTGCCAGCAGCACAAAATCCTCACTCACAGCAACCTAAAGGTATCTTCACCTTTTTCTCCCCACCATCAAGAGCATCCTGCTGGCACAATGTAGAATTGGAGTCATTCCTGGCCTGACCTTGCAGGAGTTTAATGCCAGAGCTGGATCTGTGTCTGTACTACAGTGGGGCTTTGCCACCTTCCCTCAGGCTGAGCTCAAGGTGGTTCTTCACCTTGGGAACCACTGCCAGGGGAATTATCCATTAATTATCCATGAATTATCCACCTCCCTATTGCATGGGATGGTGAACTCATGCCTGGAGACTGCAAGGACCCTCTCCTCAACAAGCCATCACCTCCACCTGGAACAGAGCCAGGCCAAAACCCTGCACCTGCATTTGGGATATTCTATGGTTTTCAGTCTCACTCAATGGACAGGTTTTTTCCCATTTTCAGCACTGCCACCTGAGTTTTTAGCCCAGGCTGTTTCTGCCCCAGCTCCTCTCTTGCTTTACCCTGCAGCTCCCAGAGTTTTTGGTCTGTGATTCCTCCCTGAAGGCACAACACACACCCAGTCCCAAACCATTGTCCCACCCCTCTCTCTGTCTTCAAGATCTCCGAGTTATTTCTGGCCTTGCTGGAAATCAGAACAAAAACTAAGCAGCTTTCCAGGGGTAAAGAGAGTCCCTCCTTATCCATAACTCAAAAAACATTGCACTATCAGAACAAAAACTACGGAGGAAAAAGCAAATTAACATCATTAACCTGGCAGGTGGTGATGGTCTCCTTTCCTTGCACCACGCTGGACTCTCTAAAAATCCTCTGCAAAGGTACTTGAACAGGCTAAAAGTACTAAGAACAGGCTTCAGCTGCACTCCTGGAGCCTTTTATCCATCCCAGCTCCCCATTTCACAACCCCCATTACACCAGTTCGCTGTGGGATCAGTGGAAACTGGATTACAGGGAAAAGTGTAATGCTTAAACCCAAGAGGAAACAAGAGGTGATGGCAGCACTGCACCTCCAGCCACTCATTCCCTGCTCTTCTCTAACCATCCTTAGGCTGGGATGTACGAAATACAGCTGGGATCTGTCTCAGGAACCTGTTTGGTAAAAAAATCCCAAACCAAACAACTCAAAAATCAGCTTTTTGACCGATGTTAGAACAAAGCAAAAAGTGTCAAAGCATCAAGCACTACAGGGATGTTTTACATCAAAAACACGACCATGGTCTGACAGGGAAGCTACTTTTTCCTTGGAAATTGCTGCTCATTAGCACTGGAGCCTTGTGTAGGTGTCAGTGCAGTGTAAAGGGAATATCAGCTCTACATCCTGTCCCTGTGCAGGACCCCCTCAGTCACTGGGACTGCAGCAGCTCCTCTTCCACTTGTCAGTGGGTGCCAGCAGCCTCTGAGATCCCCCAGGAATGCTGGAAAGGTCCCAGTTCCCTTTCTCTTTTGGCCAAACACCCTTTCTGAGGGAAGGGATGAGCCCTTTTTGCTCCCACAGGTGCTGCCCCAATCCAGCCCCTCCAGCTGCGCCCTCACCGCGGGACTTGGGGAGAAGCAAAAGGCCACAAATTTTTATTCCTCCAGATCAGCACATTTCAGGAGTGCTGAGGAAACAGTTGTGCTAATCCACTTAAATCAATCCAGTTTGACTGATTCCTTGGAGGTTTCTCACTTTTTTTTTTTTTTTTTTCCCTTTTGGAAAGAATGAAGCGACTCCCGTGCTGGAATTCCTGGGGCACTCGGAGTCATTATCTCACTGCCTGTCAGACACGAATGTCACAGGAATGGACACTGGCATTTTCTCCAGGAACAATTAGGGTGTTGTTAGTGATGCATTTGTAACCTTTTGTACACTCCCATCCATCCATCCATCCATCCATCCATCCATCCATCCATCCATCCATCCATCCATCCCATCCATCCCAGGGCACAGAGGTGTCACTTCCTCTCCAGAAACCCCAGTGCAAAAAAACCCAAAAAAACAAAAAAAACCCCAGAGATGAGAGTGCTCAAATTGGAGATTTTTCATCTTTTTCCTGTCACATCTGGAATTTATGGAGTACAGCAGTCCTGTGCTTTTTAATCTGATTTTGCACTAAATTATGACAACATAAAGTAATTAAGGAAAATATTGATCAGACTAATGAGCTAATGAATATAGAAATTTTTTTTAAGAATCAAAGAGATAATTAAAATGGGGTAAAGGACAATATAATCCACTAATATATTGAATTATTAATGATTAAACCTTTTGATCAAAAATATGTAATTTAAAGCTTAATTCCTGTCTAACATATAGAAAATGCATTGCAATGCCTTCAAAATTCTCCACAAGGCTTCTGTCAGCTGGAAATACATAATAACACACATAAAAAAAAAAAAAAAAAAAAAGTGGTCCTTACACCAAGTATTATTGAATCAGATCTTAAAAACAAAATGACAGATTTTATATTTCAATTCAAAAGATTGCCTGGATTGCTAAAAGGCCCAGGAGCTGAAGAACCTGAATTTCCAGGATTCAGCCCATAAACTCCATGGGAAAAGCCTGGAGCTGGCTCCTAAAATTTGCACAGCTTTGTGCTGGAACCACCACTGCATAGAAAACTTGTGGTCTGCTAGTGCTGTGATTTAAAATCAAAGTACTGGCACTAAAACATGTTAAATTCTTAATTATGATTAACAAGGATGAAGTGCTAAGGGTTAAAAAATCTCAGTGTGTTATGATTTTCTACTTTCATTCCCTTAAATGCGATATGGAATCATTAGAAATATTTGTCAGTCCTACAAAGGTGAATATATTGAATATGGTGCTATTTTCTGTAGGAAACTAAGAGAGGCAGCTGCTAAAATAAAGAATTTGCATTGCAGCCAGGCAGTGACAGCACCATAAAAACAGGCAGTGGAGGAGATCTGATGGCCCTTAATCATCCCTGTGCTGTTTTATATCCCACAGCTGCACTGGTGGGAGGGTTATTTGCCTAAAATCATTGTACAGGGGTGCAAAAAGTCCTGGAATTTCACACAGCAGCCAAAAGCATCCCAAACCTCATCACTCACCACCCTGAGCCACAGCAAATTTACTGCAAATAGACACTTTGGAGCTGCACAATTCAAAAACCTGTTAAAATCAGATTTTTTCCCACATTTCCTTTTATAAAAAATCAAATTTAAAAAAAAAAATTAAAATTCCAAAATCCCAAACTTTCCAGCTGTAAGCACAATCTGCCTGCAAGCTGATGGGGTTGGATCCCCTCCCTTCCCAGCCTTTTCCTCCTCGCAGCAAAGCCGGGGCTCCTCCAAGTCCAACTGTCCCATTGAAAGAGTCCAAATGAGACAGAAGAGTATTCTCAGCACAGCCCCAGCCTCCCACTCGTTAATTGGAGGCCATTCCCCATTTTGTGGAGCCTTGATGCTCCCCCATGGAGAACTCAGGACTGTGGGTTCCAGTCTTGGACTGTGGTGACAGCAGGAGAGTAAACAGAGCTGATAGAATTTGACAGGTCTATTCTTTTCTTAAAATCATTCAGTCTAAAAGATTTTCTTTTACATAATCCAAAGTGTTTTCTCATGAAGTAGGACAAATACTGCTCTGCATTTATGGTGCAGTTCAGATTTTATGCATTTTTATCAGAATTTGCCACTATTAAACGAGGTCAAATCATTTGTTTTAAAGCCGCGGTAAAGAAATCACAAGTGGGTGAAAAACTTTAGAGAACTGAGTTCAAAACATTTCACAGAGGACCCAAAGCTGGTTTTTAAAAAGAGGAAAAGAAAAAAGTTATGATTTTTTTTTACTATCTTTCTCCCCAAAATGCCTTTTTTTTTTTTTTCCTGCAGCTCTGAGTTAAAGAACAGTTCTCTCCCTAAAAAAAGGACTTAGTTAAGGTGGTGAATTCTGCAGGGCACCGAAGATCCAACCTTAAATCCACATCCCCAGAAGTCCCTCTCACCTACACCCTTCCTTAAATCCCAAATAATTTCTTCACCAATATTTACGTAGCCAAGAAAAATGCTCAGAGCAAACAGTGCCTGGGTAAAGAGCAAAAGCAGAGCCACAAACCTTTTCCCCAGAGGCTGCAGGGACTAAAACAAATCCCTTGTTGAGCTGCAAGAGGCTGAGCTGCAGCCTTTGCATTTTGAATAGAGAGAGGCCAGGAGAAAAATACCTGCAGCAGTCCCAGGAAAGGTTGCAAACCCCTCAGGCTGGGAGGAATGAATCTCTCAATGCTCATTTTATATTAAAAAAAAATAATTAATTTTCTTCTGCTTTGCTCTCTGTTTTGTTGTGAGAACTGGGACATGTTGTGTGTGTTCTGTATTTATTGAAGCTTCGCATCATGTGACAAAATGTAACCTAACATAACCCAGGGCTCTGTAATTCATGCAGAACTCTCCTGTAACCTCTAACAATGCTTTGAAATGATAAATGGAAGCATGGTGGTGCAGGTAAATTAAATTATGAAAGGCTCTTGGCAAAGCCAGGTTTGTTCCCACCCATATTAAAAGCCCTTTGACATGTTGTCAGTGCTTTGGAGGGCTACACAAGTGCTTGTTTTAATTAAAAGCTCCTCCAGTGTCTCTTGTTTAGTCTCTCCATGACTGCTCCACAACAATGCAAAAAGTGATCTGCATGGGAACTTTTAAACTATTATATTTTAACGAGAATATCCCTCTGTGGCAACGCTTGCACAGGACAGAGAATTTAGAGAGAGGTCAGCCCAAGTTTTGAAGGTATATTTATCAAATATAGGTTACTATGAAAATCAGAGAATCATAGAATTATAGAATGATTATGGATGTAAAAGACCTCCAAGATTAGCAAGTCCAGCCTTCATCCAAATGCCACCATTGTGAATACTTTAAACAGGAATGTTTCTAAATCAGGAATGCATTGTAACTGGCCATCAGCCTTAGAAATCTTATTTAGAGTGGAGGAATCATTCAGATAGCTTAGAAAAAAATAAAGAAGGAGAAGAAAAGTGGATTTCTACACGCTAAAAGGATTTTTTTAGGAGGCAAGGAGGAAGCAGGAGGAGTTGGCAGCTCTGCCAGTGGGGTGCACGTTTTTGAAAGGGATCAAACCTCACCTGTACTCCTGCGAGGGGTGGTGGTTTTGCCCTGAATTCCTAATGATTCCTGACATTATGGCCGGGATATCGCTCTCTATCATCTCCTGGGGAAGCAGCAAAGGCAGCGGTCAGCAGCAGTAGCTATCCAGCACTTCAGCAGCGCCGGGAAACCACCGAGCCCGCCCGAGCCCGGGCACCGGGGCACGGCACAGCCCGGCCCGGGCACCGGGGCACGGCACAGCCCGGCCCGGGCACCGGGGCACGGCACAGCCCGGCCCGGGCACCGGCAGGAAAACACTTCCCGGGGGATGATCCCATCCCGGAGAGGGACCCCTGAGGGAGGGACAGCTACCGACAGGGCTGAGGGCACCGGAGCACCGAGCCAGCCGGGAGCGCTCCCGCCTTGGGCTGCTCTTATCCCCCAACAGCATCCGTCGCATTTTGGGTGAAAAAGCTGCGGGAGCTGCAGCGGGGATGAGGGGAACCGGCAGACCCCAGCTCTGGATGCTCAGAGATGGAAGGGGAGCCCGGGAGAATCCCAGCACCGCTGCCCCACGGATGGAGGGAGCCTGGTGGTTCCCAGCCCCGCGGATGGAAAGGGAACCCCAAATCCTGGAGAATCCCCAAACCGCTGCCTTAGGGGTGGAGGGAGCCGGGGAGAACCCCAGACTCGCTGTCTCGGGGCTTCAGGGGGAGACCCACTGCCCGGAGATGCAAGAACCCCCAGCCCCGGTGCCTCAGGATGGAGCGAGCCCCGGGACTCCCGGCCCCGCTGTCCCGGGGGTGGATGGATGGATGGATGCAGGGAGCAGGGGGTTCCCCATCCCCGCTACCCCGGGGTGAAGGGAGCCCGGGGGTCCCCATCCCCGCCCCCCCAACCCCGCCGGGCGCTCCGTGCACCAACCTGTCGGGCGGGGCCCCGGGGCCGCCCGGAGCTCGGCGGGCGCTCGGTGCGGCGGGGCCGCGCTCCGGGCCCGGTTTAAATTTCCCTCTCCGGAGCTGTCCAGCCCCGAGCATGCGCGGCCCGGCCCGGGGTCAGCGCCGGGGCAGGGCCGCCCCCGCCCCCGGTGCCTCCGGTGCCTCCGGTGCCCCCGCCCCGCGGTACCGGCCCGGGCAGCGCGTCCCAACGGAGAGCGGCGGATGAGCAGCGGGAAAAGCGCAGATTGACCCAACTTTGTGCAACTTTCCGCAGGGAGGAGGGGGAGGGATCCGCCCGTTCAAACGGGCACCGGCGGGAGGGGCGGATCGGGGGAGCCGGTGCACAACGCCCGGTGCCCGGTACCGGTGCTTAGTGCCCGGTCGGGGCCGGGAGCTCCGTCCTCGGTACCCGGTGCCCCGCTCCGGGAAGCGGAGCGGAGGCATCGGCCGGAGCCGCCGGTCCCTCCCCGCCGGTCCCCGCCGGTCCCCGCCGCCGGTGCCGGGATGGCCACGGGAAAGGGAATGGGAGTGGGAAGGGAACCGGGACTGCCCCGGGCAGGCAGCGCCGGGTGTGAGCCTCAGCGACCGGGAGGTGAGGATGAGGATGGGAGGGATGAGGATGGCAGGAGGAGGATGGCAGGAGGAGGATGGCAGGATGAGGATGGCAGGATGAGGATGGCAGGATGAGGATGGAAGGGGTGAGGATGGCAGGATGAGGATGGAAGGGGTGAGGATGTGTGGATGAGGATGGCAGGATGAGGATGGGAGGATGAGGATGGGTGGGATGAGGATGGGTGGGATGAGGATGGCAGGATGAGAATGGGAGGATGAGGATGGGAGGATGAGGATGGGAGGATGAGGATGGGAGGATGAGGATGGGAGGAATGAGGATGGGAGGATGAGGATGGCAGGATGAGGATGGCAGGATGAGGAAGGCAGGATGAGGATGGCAGGATGAGGATGGGAGGATGTGGATGGCAGGATGAGGATGGGAGGATGAGGATGGCAGGGTGCTGAGGCCCTGGCACAGGGTGCCCAGAGAAGCTGTGGCTGGAGGTGTTCAAGGCCAAGCTGGACAGGGTTTGGAGCAATCTGGAAAGAGAATCATTCATTCTGAGCACCATAATTCTCCCTCCTCTTTCACCAGAGCCTTTTGAAGCACGGCTCAGCCATCAGAGAGTGAAGTCTGATGATAATGACACGAATTTAGGACAGTGTTACCTCCAAGTACCAGAAACTCATGGATCAAACATCTGAGCCAAGGTCAAATCCCACATCAGCAGAGATCCAGCCCCAGAAAATATTGGCTTAGACTGTCCAGGTCTTTTCTTGAGACCAGATTTTATTTTCTGTAAACCCATCATCAAAACAGGGACCAACCTTCCCTGTCAGGAAAGTGGCCTCTAAGCAGAGGCAGTTTGAATTCTGGGATGACACTGGGTGCTTTGGGCTCAGCACAGCAAGGCTGAAATTTGGAAATACTCCCAATATCCTGCACAATGAAAATGCACAAGATCCATGATAAATGTATTTCCATGTGCTTGCCAGTTTACCAGAGAGGATGGAGGGCATGAAATGTGAAGACAGAACTTTTTTTCTGATCTTAATGAGAATCTGTTCACTTTGATGAGCATCAAATCTCTCTCTGTTAATTGCTGTCAATAGAAGTGGAGATTAATCAATACTTCTATGAATCAATGTCTTTATCAGGCACCTCTGGAGAACTGAAAATGAGAGGAAAAGTCACAGTACTGGCAGAGCCTCAGGCATGGAGTTTGCACAGTTGCAAGTGTTCCCTTAATTACAGGCTGCATTAATTAACGTTGGGCTGTAACTTATTAAAAGGTCATCCCAGAGTCATCACATCCTCAAAAAACACTTTAAAGAATGTGTTCCTGTGGCTGAATATTTGCAGGATAAAACACAACCTTCCTTCCAGATCTCCTTGGAGCCCGTTCAGGACATTGTGCTGAGCTTTCCCCCTGGCTGCTTTGCTTGCAGGAGCACATTCCATGCAGGAGCAGCTTTCCCCTCTCAGGTGATCTGCAAACCTTGGAAGGGCAGGACTGCAGCAGGTGAGGAGCCAAGGGTGGCTCCTGCCCTGTTTGCTCACCTGCAACGGGGAGGGATAAAGGGCTTTGCTCTCCAAAACCTGCAGGAGCAAGTTCCAGCAAGGAAAATTCCAGTTAATTGGTCCAACACTACAATGAGCACTGGGGAGGTTTTGGGTCCCTGCCCTTGGAAGTGCTGGAATTGGACAGGACAGAGTTCTGAGGAGTTTGTGGGGTCACAAAACGGTTTGGGTTGGAAAGGAGCTTAAAGCTCATCTTGTTCCAGTCCCTTCCATAGCTCCAGCTGTTCCATATTCTGTCAGGTCAGCTCCAAGCTGGAACTGCAGAACTGCAGGCTGATGGTTGGACTTAAAAAAAAATTGGTTTTTTTTTCTCTTGGTTTTGGTGTTTTCTCACCAGTTCCTGTCAGGCTGGAGAAATGATGCTGTCCATGGGAATGGTATGGAAAGGAATATTGGGGTGTATTTTCTCCTGGTATCCATCAGCTCTGTTGCTTTCTGTGGTTTAAAATACAAGAACACAAGAGATGGACAATTTCTGGTTGTATTTGTATTTATTCTTATCTCAGTTAAGGAATGGTTCACATTCACCTGTCACAACTTGAAGTTATTTTTACAGTGAATATTAGCAGAGAAATGTGCATTAGGTTTTCCTATTGATCCAATTTCTCTCTGACATATTTGGTGGCATGAAAAATCACACATAACCTTTAAATGAACATTGTTCAGCAATTAGCTTCTTCCTTTCTTTGAACTAACAGCTTTGTAGTAAACAAACAATGCAATAAAACAACAGAAGTAAAATAGGGATTTGTCTTTCAAGGGCGTTCACTTTCTTTTGTATGAATTTCTCCTGAAATATATTTAATTTCTATAGATTTCATTTTAAACTGTAGGAATTGCTTTTGGATGACAAACTGAATTCATTTTGCTACCAGCTGAGGTCATTATAAAACAAGTTTGGTTTATTTTCCACACTCTCCACTGCTTCAGGAGAAAAGTAGAGGGGAAAAAAGCAAGAGGGAGCTGAGAAACCTTCAAAAGCAGAGACTGATGAGAACTCTGTGAAGATTTTGGTGACCTCTGCGTCAGGCTGGAAAATCAAAATATTTCCCTCACCTCAGGCAGTTGGGACTGGGACCTGTGGTTTTTGTGGTGAACCCAGAATGGCTGAAAAGCAGCTTCATGTTTATTCATTGTCATTTTTTGTGGAAGGACATCGGTGTGTCCTGACCCTGGATCTTCCTACTCCTCACTTGGCTTTTTTTTTCTGATTGTGGTTTTCATCCCTCTCCTCCCGAGTACCTAAAACATGTGGGGAAAATCCTGATGTGAATTCAGCTCTGAGAGCATTTAGTGCTTCTTAGAGAGGAATAATTTCCTTCCACACTTCAATCCAGCTTTGTTTTATGGGAAACATTGGACTTTTTTTGAGCTCCTCCTTTATTTACCAAATTTAATTTATCCCTACAGAAGTGAAATATTCTATTCACATTTTAAACTGCAACTTCATCACTTGGATTCTCAGTCCCTGATGGAGATGGGAATTTGGGAACACTTCATCCTCTTTCCAATGCCCAGATTTGGGGTTGTATCCTCACCCCCAGAGATGAAAAGCAGCTCTTCCCATTGCCCACAGGCTCTTTTCCCAGGATTTCTGCATTCATATGGGAATGAAAAATGTGCAAATGGATTCAGTCCAAGCCACTGGAAACAGGAAACTCTGCAAGCTCCCTCCTTTTATCCCCCTGCGAAAGCAGCGACCGTTTGTTTTATTTTGGGATACTGTATCCTAACAAATTATCCTTAAAAATCATTTGGTGTGAAATTGCAGATTAATCCCACCGGGGTGGGGGTTTAGCCCTCGTCTGGCCACTTGGGAGCACACAGATGGTGGCTGGGAGTGTGACAAAAGGCACAATCCCTGATGAGATGCATGGATGTAACGGACAGAAAGCTTTTCCTCATGGCCAAGGTGAGGAAAACACCGGAGCTCCAAGAGCCTGCCTCCTGCTGGGAGAGCTGTCCTGGAAAATCTGCTCTGCAAAAGTTTTCCAATGGCTCCCAAACAAAGGGAAACCTGCTCTGACTCCCTTTAAAATCCCATTTTTA